GAAGCTCTGTGTTGGATTCGGAGACGAACGAGCTGGTTGCGATGAAGAAGATAGCGAACGCTTTCGATAATCATATGGATGCTAAGCGTACACTTCGTGAGATCAAGCTTCTTCGCCATCTGGAGCATGAAAACGTTTGTGTTTTTTTTTCATTCGATTTTGTGAAATATTTAGAGAAAAATTAGATGAACAATTGGATGATTAGGTTTTGGTATTTTCAACAGATTATAGCTATAAGAGATGTGGTTCCTCCACCACTTCGAAGACAATTCAGCGATGTTTATATTGCTACTGAATTAATGGACACTGATCTTCATCAAATCATCAGATCCAACCAGAGTTTGTCAGAGGAACACTGTCAGGTAATGAAACTCTTGTTTGTATTTCAGGGATTAGGTAGAAGTAACATGAACTGACTTGAATCTTCTTGATTTGGTAAATTTTCATGTGAAAACAGTACTTCCTCTACCAGCTTCTTAGAGGGCTCAAGTACATCCACTCAGCTAACGTTATTCATAGGGACTTAAAGCCGAGCAATCTTCTGCTTAACGCAAATTGCGACTTAAAGATATGTGATTTCGGTCTTGCTAGACCGACTTCAGAGAATGAGTTTATGACGGAGTATGTTGTCACGAGATGGTATAGAGCACCTGAGCTTCTGTTGAACTCCTCGGACTACACAGCTGCTATAGATGTTTGGTCTGTTGGTTGTATCTTTATGGAGCTCATGAATAGAAAGCCTTTGTTCCCCGGTAAAGACCATGTCCACCAAATGCGCTTATTGACAGAGGTAAACAGATTAGAACAAAAGCATGGATTTGAGATACCACGTTTTGGGAATATGTGATGAATGTGTTAATCTTGCAGTTGCTTGGCACACCGACAGAATCTGATCTCGGGTTTACACACAACGAGGATGCGAAAAGATACATCCGGCAACTTCCCAACTTCCCTCGCCAACCGTTAGCGAAACTTTTCTCTCATGTTAACCCATTGGCCATTGATCTAGTTGACAGAATGTTGACGTTTGACCCCAACAGAAGAATCACTGGTAAGCTATATATGTATTACATGTACTCTGTTGGTTTCTTATCATCAGTATGGTTTGATTCAAAACTGAAACACCTTTCCCTTTTTTTGTTGTGTGCAGTTGAAGAAGCTCTTAATCATCAGTACCTCGCCAAATTGCACGACCCTAATGATGAGCCAATATGTCTAAAGCCATTCTCTTTTGATTTTGAACAACAGCCTCTAGACGAGGAACAGATAAAAGAGATGATCTACAAGGAAGCCATAGCACTCAATCCAACATATGCTTAGAAGAGCAGCTACCCCGTGAATGTGCGATATTACCCAATATCCATCCGAATGGCTGCTTACTATCTTTGCATGTTCTTTTATTCATGTACTTCTACATATGTAATCCTGTAATACTATTTGTTTGTTCATGTTTTATCTCTGCTAGTGATTGAGTGTAGCTTGATGTAAAGTACTCCAGTAATGAAAACACTTCAGACTTTTTTACTTCACCTACTGAGTCTTCTCTAGTAAACAAAGAGAAGAAAGAAAATAGTTCCCTGATTCTCAAAATTAGTGAGCTAGAACCAAAGTTAAAGCTGTCGCGGTGAGTAGTCTATTCTCATCAATGACTTTCAAGAGATTTCTTGTGGGCTTGTCTCTATGTAGCTTACTTGCATTATTGAAGTAGAAATGGTCAAATCCTTAGCAATAATTAGGCATTATGGGGTCTTTTTGTAAGATATCCTGTACTGGACAATCAATAGTTGACTTTTTGAAATGTTCGATGGAAAAAAACAAAATGTTGCCTTCACACAGGCTGTTCGAAGATGACAGTGATGGCTCACCACGCATGAGCGGAAAGCTTTTGAGTTCTTTTTTACTTTGTTAATGTTTCTTTGTTTGAAGCTGCTGCTCATGGAGAATAAAATATCTTGGAATCGATAAAGTCATCATCTTTGCTTGACAAAATATGTTGCATCATTGCTTCTATATATTTCGGAATCACAAGCCGTTATTGACAAAGCAAAACAAAAAGTGAAAGATCTTTGCTTGATTTTGAGATATGGCTGCAGATTCAGTTCCCCGTGATGCAGAAACACAGATGCCAGCAGATTCAAGCACCAAATGTCGCCGTGGAGGTTGGATCACCTTCCCGTTTATGATAGGTGAGAGATTCTGTTTCTCTGTTTTCTTCTTCTTTTCATAGCTTACATAACCATTAGAGCTCAGAAGAAGAAACTGAAGCTATCTTTCTGTGGTGCAGCTACGTTGTTAGGCCTGACAATAGCTGCGTGGGGTTGGTTACTTAACTTGATCGTTTATCTGATCGAGGAATTCAACGTGAAGAGCATCGCAGCGGCTCAGATTGCCAACATTGTTAGTGGTTGTATCTGTATGGTTCCAGCCGTTGGAGCCATTGCTGCTGACTCTTTCTTTGGAAGCATCCCTGTTATCTCAGTTTCAGCTTTCATTTCACTTATGGTAATGTTAAAAAAGACTTGTTTTTATCAAGTCTTCTCTGAAACAAGAAATTCACCAATTCTACTCTTTGATCAGGGAATAGCTCTGCTGACTCTAACCGCTTCACTTGACTCTTTAAGACCCAAACCCTGTGAAACAGCTTCAATTCTATGCCAATCACCTTCAAAGATGCAGCTCGGTGTCCTTTACACGGCCATTACTCTAGCCTCTATAGGAACAGGTGGGACACGGTTCACAATAGCAACTGCCGGTGCAAACCAATTTGAAAAAACTAAAGACCAAGGAAGCTTTTTCAACTGGTTTTTCTTCACATCATATCTAGCTGGTGCTATCAGTGCAACCGCAGTTGTCTACACCGAAGACAATATCAGCTGGACCTTCGGGTTTGCGCTGTGCGTAGCAGCGAATCTCCTTAGCTTTTTGGTTTTCATCTCGGGGAGAAGATTCTACAAGCATGACAAGCCCTTAGGAAGTCCCTTCACAAGTCTACTTTGTGTCATTTTCGCCGCGGTACTCAAAAGAAAAGCCGTTGTTTCCACCAACGAGAAAGACTACCACAATGAATCCATCGCAATGCCCACAAAGAGTTTCAGGTAACTAAAAACAGCTAGTTTCATTGCTGGATTGAGAGGTCATTCTAATGATTCCTCAAACACGCAGGTTCTTTAACCGTGCAGCCTTGAAACAAGAAGACGAGGTCAAACCAGACGGCACAATTCGCAATCGATGGAGACTATGCAGCGTTCAACAAGTGGAAGATTTCAAAGCAGTCATTAGAATCATCCCTCTTGCGTTAGCCACAATATTCTTGAGCACTCCAATCGCGATGCAGCTAAGCTTAACAGTTCTTCAAGGTCTGGTCATGGACCGGAGGCTTGGCCCTAACTTCAGAATCCCTGCAGGCTCTCTCCAAGTCATAACACTCCTCTCCACTTGCCTATTTATCATAGTCAACGATCGGTTTCTCTACCCATTTTACCAAAAACTAACCGGAAAGTTCCTCACGCCTCTCCAACGGGTCGGGATAGGCCATGTTTTCAACATATTAAGCATGGCAGTGACTGCCATAGTTGAAGCAAAGAGATTGAAGATAGTACAGAACGGTCATCTTCTCGAATCATCATCTGTTGCTGACATGTCAGTCTTATGGCTATTCCCTCCTCTAGTCATAGTCGGAATCGGTAAGGAATTGATTCATAAACAATTCATTTATGAATTGAGATCAAACCGATCACGTTCTCTGTTCTGTCTTTTGCTTGCAGGAGAGGCCTTCCATTTCCCAGGGAATGTAGGCTTGTGCTATCAAGAATTCCCAGAGTCTATGCGAAGCACCGCAACATCGATAACCTCGGTGGTGATTGGGATATGTTTCTACACAAGCACCGCTCTAATCGATCTAATTCAGAGGACCACCGCGTGGTTACCAGATGACATAAACCATGGAAGAGTTGACAATGTGTACTGGATTTTAGTCATAGGAGGAGTGTTGAATCTTGGCTATTTTCTTGTGTGTTCTTGGTTATACAGATACAGAAACCTCAGGGAGGATGATCATGAGCAAGATGCTGCTGTCTCTCTCTCTACTACTTTGTCCTCATGATCTTATAAAGATGTTATGTCCTTTGTTGTTATCATCTGATGTTATGTAAAGCGACAACTTTGTCTTAAGAGTATCTTCAATTTGTAGCCATTGATAAGTTTGTTGTTGTTTCTACTTCCTAAGAAATCTCTCTCTCTCTACTACAGTCACAATTTTTTTAATTAGTGTTAAACATTAACATCCTTTAACCCCGCAGGTACCTTTTTCAGATTATGAGAATTGACATAAAATATAGTGGAGTTAGGAAAATAACCAATTTTGTTAGCAAAATTTCAATAAAAATAAATACAAAGTATAGTGAAGTTACCTGTAACGTTTTGTTTTTCAGATTATGAGAATTGACATAAAATATAGTGAAGTTACCCGTA